CATTACAAAAATGATGAACTGTGAATGAAATTTGTGTAAAATCAACTGTAAATGATTAGTGAAATCAAAAATCTGTCGGAGAATATTACACCATGATTAAACCGTGTCACTTCTCAGCTTTCACTCATGGTATTCTCAACACATACCACACCCACCATATCAAATGTCCTTCTCTTCCTTCACTTATGTGTACTATTGTTGAGTACAGTATCCAGAACAGCTTGATTTTCTTCTTTCTTTTCTAATTGTTCTCTCATACACGAAAAGAATGAGTGAGCTATTTTCGGGATCTTTTCGTTATGAATTCATCTTGGGGAACTGACAATGTGCTATTGAAAGGTGTCATTCCGTTCCCATTTAGACAATTAGTTATTTATGAATTCAACCACAGTACCTGTTGATCAATTCAACTTTTACGACCGCAGACCCTTAATGTTGGTTGGACTGCCACCTTTGATCAGCTTATTCAGTGAGTATAGTCGAGATCAACCATGTTAATTTGTTTTAGGGGGGGGGGTGTTCACATGGCTAGGGGAGATTCAATTAATAACTTCAAGATTGGTTCAAACTATAAAAAATTGGTTTGTACTCCCATATTGCTGGATTGGTTCGTACGAGATTATTGGCGTCTGTCGCATTTGAAAAAGCCCGAAAGAGAGGCTTCAGTGGTAATTAACTTTTCAGAAAGGAATCCATTGTCCCCGGGTTTTTGTTATTGGTCTATAGTCAAGTTGATTTCCGATCTTATATTTCGAACATGAATTCTATGCGTAAGTGTAATACAAACTTTTAACGCAGTTGTACAGCTCGAATGGCAATCTTCATCAAAATTTGTTTTTAGGCGTTGTTATTTTCAAGGAAAAAACATCTATTCATCTTTCATACACTTGGTGTTTTCGTCTGACGGAGAAGTTACAGAATTCGGAAAAATGACACACATTTCTGCATAATAACCTGATGTAGATCCAACGGTACCAGCCAACAATTACTGGTAAAAACTCACATCATCATCATCATCATCATCATCATCGTACAGCAAAATACAGCGAGGTAAAATTCACAGTTCTCTGCCAAGCTCGCAATGCAAACAGCGATAATGGTCATATGTCAGGTGGACAAGGATTGAACCTATTCTGACGGAGGGGAGGAAAGTGAATCTCTATGGCCAACACAGAGCTCACGATCTAATCGTGCATACGAACGGTTTCAAGTGTAGGGCACTGCGGTCAGGTCTCAAAAACGTGTATGGTGGTTGTCTGGGCAGCACAATGCGGACTAGTGATTGACCATTTCTGTCCCCTTTCCTCCCCATACTACCCTGGTAGTGGTGTTCTAAGACTATGATTCGAATGCCGCATTGTCAGACGTACCCGCAAACGCAAACCGTGTGGAAGCAATGTGAGACAGCGTATCAATAGTCACTTTGAGAAAATACCAGAGCTATTCAGATTTGGGTCATCGAGGAAACCATATCTATTTTTACGTATTGTAGATATCCTTATTCTTGACTTGATTGCATCCATACTATCACCCTCCTTCTTGCTGTTTGAATGGAGTTTTGTTGGATGACGGAAGAAGTGGAGGCAGCCTGCGAAGTTTTAAGGTTATTCGAATAAATTTAGTACACTTGCGGTTTGAAGAACTTCCATTCATTGATTCTATCAGGTTAGTGTAGAGTTACTATAATTGGCTCTTTGGAAGAGGGAATAAGGGAGCTTTATGAAGTGAATGAAGTTTCATGGGGGTCTGGTGCGAGAGATATCCCCAATATCCATCGAAGCGTGCTAAGAGCCCATATTTCTCACATTTTTGTTGGCTACTGGTAGCAAAAATGTGTCGGTGTATGATTGATGAAACCACGAGTCTCATGTATCTCTGTTGGTTGGATAATGGGGTAGAATCTATGCTACATGGTAGTCATCGCGACTGCTTGGGCGGTGCATATTTCTGGCGATGCCGATGAGGTAAACGAGACAGTTTGTAATGACGCTGGAACAACTTGAAATGATACCCAGAAGTCTTGAAATCATATTCGGACAACTTAAATTGCAAAAGGTATAGTGACCGTTGTCACAAAACCTTCTCTTCCTAAGTCCCATAGTTAGAAGCCCCATTCACAGAAATTTGTGTAACGTTGAAGCATCCATGATATTTATGTATTTGTTTCGAAAATACTCGTTTTACTGAGGTGGGTAATAAGTTTTGCGGGAATAAAACCGTTGAATTATTTCGTGTTTGGATGGTCCTTTCAAACAATTTTCATTCCTTTTTCGAATACGTTCCGCCCCATGGTATTTGTTAGTTAAGCTAAAAAATCAATTTATCGGAAAGTTTGCAACTTGCTATCTCAAGTAATGTTAAAGGTTTCTCCATTCGGAAAGGCAGTGTATGGGAGAAGGGAAGGGGGTACCTTAAGTACCCAAAAGAACAGGAGATACATCATCCTCGGTCCCTTTTTTACCTGGCGGACTGAGAATAAACGTTTTTTCAATAATGCTCATTTTATTACTTTTTTGGAGACCAACGACACTGACACTGTTTCACAAAAATTTCTCCGCTTTGTTTGATGTGTTCCACGCTAAACGTTTGAAGTGATGCTTATTTTACCAAAAATTGGGTGTGCTTGTTTGTGTGCGGGCGTTAGCGGATGAGCAGGCGTTCGGGAAAATTCGAAGACACTCAAGAATACTGATAACTGCCTGAGTGTCACGCAAAACATATCCCAGCAAAACAATTGGTTGTTATGAAATCGTCTTTATACACTGCGGGGAAAAAGATCATCGTGAAGTGAAATAACAAGTGCCGGGAGTGAATAAACTAGGGTCAAATATCTTGCTCAAAAATACAGCCATTCCAATTTATTCAAGCTTTACAATGTTTTCCTTTTATTTTTGGTTTGACTTACACTCGGTTGTTTTTGTGGCACTTTTGGGTGAGCGACCCAACTGGCTCAAGAGTATTTGAATGGTACGGGACAGAAATGTGGTGCAGAAATGTTGGAACAGTCTGTTGATCGACGTGAGCAANCCAGCTGCCACTGATTTGGCAAATCAGGCGCCAGGTGAAAATAGCCGTTACCGTCACCTTTATCGTACTATTATCTCTATTCAGCAGACCATTAAAATGCATCTGGTTTCGGTGAATTTGAAGTATAAAACACAGGAAGTAATAGTCTTTTGTTGGATGAAAGGACGAGCCAAATGAGCGTCCCTCTTCCTAAAAGAAGTCCGCTGCAGTTTGATTTACAGTGTCTTAGTCCAGATGTCACGAATACAAAAATGAAGGAATGGATCTACTTATTAGAATACATTTTACCAGCTCGTTTGAAAGAATTTCCGGCCCCTTTGAAGCCATCACTCCGCAGTCACCACAAAGAACGTGATACCGAACTTTTGGGGGAGGTTAGGCGGGTTTGACCGCTTTGACTGGCGTGCTTTGGATCCCAGTGTTCGGTGTTTGAACCCAGCCATATTTGGTGGTAGACAGCTTTGCTGTTATTCGGGCCAACAACCTGCCTGTAATAAGCGGAGCTTTATGTGATTAGCCACTTTAATTCCCGGAGCTGGTTTTCAGGAGGGAACAGTAATTTTTAATGATTAAGAGGTTTACCCTTTGTTCGATTTATCACACAGGGGAATGTAGTAACAAGAGTACTGCCACGGCGCTAGTCTTCCTTTTGCTTTTCTCCGGTAACTATCTTTTTCTTAGTAAAGTATGCGACAAATATTCATTTGGTAGATCTTTTAAATAAACCGTAGAACCCATCTTGAACTAACCTTTTAAGGGTAACTTTGCACATGAAATTGAAAAAGGCGTTAGAATCCTGAACACCTTCAACGAAAGCTATACAAAGATCGATATTACTTGGAAAAAGAATCTCTCCAGATGACTTCACGTTGCGTTTCCGTCAGTATTCGCAGATGACTTAATGTGCAGAACCTGAAGGGGCAATACATGTGGCGCGTGATTTTTAACGTACCAGAATAAAGTATCTCATCCCTGGGCCACAAATATAATCATAAAATTTACTTAGTTGGCTCTANAGAAGGTTACTAAAAAGCAAAAGGCGCTTACTGTCAAAGAAGTCAGTAAAATTGTTCTTTTATTTGTGAAGTATGGTGACTTATTCACTGAAACTCGAATTACCAATCCAAGGGAAATATTGATCGATTTTTGGTCTAATGCACAGAAGTTGAGGCGGAGTCCTCCAATTTACCCACTTCTGGGGTTAATATTCTCATTTTAGACGAAAAAGGGGTCGGGCTGGGAGGAGTACCACCTCATAACGATTCACCTGCCTCAATGAAATAAGCTTTTGGACGAAACTGGTTTGATAATGAAGTCACAAGGACCGGAAGGATTTTGGTTACCAGGCGCTTGATTGAGGGGTATAGCTCAATTTATGTGTGGAAAGATCTCTGTCCTCTCAAAATTGGTCAAAGAAAGGGTACCAAAGTAGACCAAATGAGTAACACCCGATTTATGAAATCAAGAATAGTTTATGAGAACATCCGACCGCTTTCACTCCGGTGGCATAATCTCTTATCATGAATCTTCACTGAAATACCAGCTCATTCATTCACTCCATTATATAGGCACTTCAGGAGTACAAGTTATCACCCTTAGATAACTGAACCCCATATGATCAACTTTCAGTTACCTCGGCATTTTCCAATTCATGTTTAAGCTGATGAGGCACTTTGCACAAACTTGTATGCTTACTCTTGCTCCCAGTGTGGACCAGTTAGATATTTTATGTTCGACATAATGGAGTGCACGAGAATAAAAAATGAAAAATAAATAAACAGGAAACTTGGGGTTGATCGTTCTTATGTCAATACGTTGTTTCGACAGTTTATCATAAACAACAAAACTAGCAAACTGAATAATCCATTCAATATCATCCAAACTTGCAGGACAAACAAATTAACATTTCCGTAAATTTTTCAACAGGATTGAACAGAGGTAGATTTTACGGGGAATGTCACGCGAATACGTACCGTGGATTGCAACCGATCCATGGCTCTCATTTGTCGTTCACGATCGTCCAAGTCCATTTGGAGCTGAGCGAACTTCACACTCAGTTCTTGGTTTGCCTTACGCAGTTGTGCGACTTCACTGGACAGACCGGTCGGAGAACGCGCGCCACTTTCAATGCGGCTAAGAGCGGAATACTGTGCGTAGGTTTGTGCGTGTTAATGCGCGGGGAAAAAAGGAGGCAATTTGTACAATCCATGAATAAGGGTGATGTTTGTATCACACTTGCACGCACGCACACACACACGCATGAGCGCGTACTCGCAAACAAGTAAGAGGAATAGCAAAACAAAATACAGCGACCATGTGTTCGTACCAGAGAATGCAAAAAAGACGGTTTCGAGATAGGAAAATGGGCACGAATTCATTTGTGGAACGGGTTGTGATGAAAGTACATGATGAGAACTATTTTGACATACAACTCAAATAAAGACAAAAAACGTTTCGTTTTCACTGTACTAAGCAAGTACATCAAAATGCTTTCAAGCCTCCTCCCTCCAAATACAACTTTGAAACCGTTCTTTGGGCCAAAGGCAATCTGTGCTCTAGTAATGTCAACAAACTTTTCGTACATTCGTGTAAGAGTGGCAGTATGGTTTAGCCCAACACTTGATTCCCACCGTTTTTTTATTGAAATCAGAATGAGCGAGCGAGCGAGAGAGTCGGATCGCTACAACTGACACGCATTGGCGAATGAAGTCTTTCACAGTGCTCCACACTTGTGAGTAGATGTTGTTGGATTGAGCACACTTAAGGGGTATACAGCAAACAAACCACATCCGTTTGGTTAACTGTCGATTGGCGCGATCAGTGAGACCACTTACAAAAGAGCAGGTGAAGTGATATACATAGGCGGGAGTGGTTACCAGTTCAGCCAGTAAAAAAGACCGAATAAGATGAATAGAGTCTTATGAGCTTCGCAACAAGAACTATAAAATGAACTGCACTCAAGAGTCGCGTCTTAAAGATTTCGCCGAAGCTTTCATTTCTTAGAGATGTAGGGGAGTTTGCTTTCCATGTTTTCTTCTCAAACATACCTCTATGGATATCCACTCTTCCGGCAGATAGTTCTTATATTCCTTAATTCCATTTTTATTCAGTCCCACGCGCATTACCAGTATCAGATTTCATTTAGGTTTGATTGCTACTATTCTTTGGCGGTTGCTCTTCTGTCTGACCAGAGTGCGGTTCCTCTCAAAAGAGATTGAACTTCATGTTGCGAAAATAGTAGCAAAAAGGGACGAAGCAAGTATATTTTTTCTTTTGTGCCCAAATGTCATTTTTGTGAATTTGTGTGTTGATAAAGGTTGAATAGAATGCGAAAAACATTCATTTTTGGATAACTAACGGTCAATACATGCTTAATATTTTCAAAAGTACCCATGAAACCGTGTTCGAAAGGAACCGGTTTTGTACTGAACTCATAACCAAACTATTTACTGGACGATACACATATTCATTGTGTAAGAACGGAACAATTATGGTGAAAAGCAGAGTGAGTTCTCTCAAACAAGGTAATAAAGTTGGCTCTTCGGTTTCTACTGAAGAGTAGCTATCGTGTTCTTATAGTGGGCTTTATCGAATAGGGACAACATTTCCAGGGAGAATAATGTTTTGTTGTCTGCATTTCAGTTTCTCAACTGCTCGGACAAACTACTTGCCATTTTTGGACTATGAGATTCGAACCCTCGTCCCATTGATATGGCTTTTGCACTCCAAATGCTCTCTCTACCAGCTGAGCTACGAGATCACTCCAATAGCACATATCTTTTCACGGTTGGATCACCCATCCAACTTACAGAGACCTATTAAATCCACTAATTAACCTGTAACCTGACCGCCACGGTAGGTTTTTCCCTCAGAATCAAAATGTAAAGAAACCAGTGCTATCGGCGTGGTCTCACAGTCCAGTGGTAGAANNNAGAATGAGAGTTGTACACAACTGTGGTAGGCGTTTAAAGGGTAGTACGAGTCCGATCCGAGCTACTGGTCTTTCTCAATCCGAGAAAAAGACTATCTCCTGTTTTGTTCACACAAATCTCGTTTTTAAGTGAAGTTTTGCAAAGATTTTGAGTCTCAGAAAATTTGCGGTGAGTGACTACGGATAAAGCTTTGACGGAAGCACTAAAACGAGTGTGGCACGAGTTTGAGCGGTGCTATTATATGGTTTATAGACTTGGTCTGCATGAGAATGAAAGATAAAGACTGATTGTTAGTGATCTAACATCGCTGTGGAGGCTGCATTGCACGAGTCTGACGGAATAATCAAACAAACAATGTTGAGATTAGACGCTTCGTCGATGCGATCTAGTTCACTGATTAGAGTAAATGCTCAACTTGTGAAGATTACTTTGGTTCGGGCATATGCCAAGCATTTCACCTATTGCATTATCTTATCGTGTGATGTGATGTTTGTAAGGAGGACAAAATGGGTTAAACTAAAACCTGTCATGATGATATAAAAACGCTCACCAGGGAACATGGACATATAGTTTAAGTTAGGCGTCCCAGATGAGGATCTCGGGATCAGCGTAATAAATGGCCAGAGACAATAAATGATATGGTTGTGTGTAAGCAATGACGCTTATGCATCTTCTCAATTTCTTCACAGCATTTGTCTACCTGACTTCTCTATCCTAGCAGTGGCACCACTTATAGCATTTTAACCTTTCATCTATTCCTTGATCCAAAATAGGTG